GTGCAAGCCACCCCAGTTAGTCTCACTGCTTCTATTTTTCTCCTATAATTAATTCATTCTCTCATCCAACAGCCAGTGGTATCTTTTTAAAACATGTCACTCTTCTGCTTCCAATCTTTCTCATCACTCCTCAAATAAAACCACAATGCCCACCTCATCCTCCAAAGCTCAGTAATGCATGCCTTCCTCTGTCTTTCAGTCGTACTCGCTCACTACTCGGTTGGTTCCTTATGTCTATGCCATGAGTTTTCCATGCTAGAGCTTTGTGTCAGCTCTTCCTTCTGCCTGGAATGCTCTTGGCTCAGGTCCTAGTTGACTCCATATCTTTCATATCTCAGATTAATTATCACCTCCACAGGAAGGCATTTGCAAACCTGATCTACATGCCCAATACGTTATGTCCTTGACAGCAGAAATTTTGCATGTTTCCTTTGAGTTATCAGCAACCAGTCCAGTGCACAGGACATAAAAGTTTAGGCCAATCCTACCTGAAGTACGGTCTGCTAATTGATGCTATCCCATGGAGAGCACTGGTCTGCAAACTCTTTGTTATTAGTTGGTGATGATATTGACAAAGAAACATCACCTCTATTAGGTCAGTTATTTTAAAACTAAGCTTATTTATCACATTAAAACTTAAATATGGCATTCGTTCAAAGTGGGTATACAGGAATGTAATATGGGCAAGCACCTATATTTCTGTATTAACACCCAAATCCAAATAGGCAAAAAATCAGGAGTACAACAGTGACACCCTACATTAATCACTGTATACACATTTCATAAATAATATTACACATTTTGCAATATTTTTTTCCTTATGCAATATTTTTTTTCTGATTTTAAAAACATGACTTATGTCTAATAAACCTAACTAAAAAATTTAAGCTCCTATGCTTTATTGTCCTGTCTTGAATTCTATCTTTCTCTGAAGTCACATTTGTCATATTTTACAAATGTCTAAGGCCACAATGATGGGGACAGGAGGACTAGTTTTGCACTGCAGGCATATGAAAAGCACTTGTGTAGATGACCATGGCTTGACCTCCCCTTGACTGAGTTCCAGTCTCACTAGACCGACATGATTCTGTTTTTGCATTTGGTACTGGTATTTGACAGTCTTGGTTTGGGGAGGATGGAGAAGAGACCCGAAGCCCTGAATGCCTTGCTGGACTCACTGTGTTCAGAGGCAGCAGGTCTAGGAAGAGGAGGTGGTCAGTCGCTCCTGAGGGGTCTTTCCCTTCAGGCATGCTGTTAAGGAGGATTAAAATACTCAAAGAAAAATGGATTCCTTCACAATCCTGCCTCTGGCAAGATGTGAGAGTAGCAAATTGGATGGCCTGTTACAAAGGTCCTCTGAACTTTGAAGATAAAAGATGAAGACAAGGAGTGCGTCTCCCTTGGATACCCGGAAGGCTCCATGGTATTTCATGAGTTTAGGGAGGGGATTCCAACCACTCTGGGAGATTTGAACAAAAAATAATTACACATAACAATAGATGAAACTACAGTCAGTGCCACAGAACATCGGGTCCACAACAGGTCAAATATGTAAGAGTTGCTCTGTAAGATCACCATGGAGCTGAACTATTCCTGTTCCAGGGACAACAGAGCAACATCATAGCTCAGCCATTACTCATGTGTTTGATGGTGGTGTCAACAAACCTACTCCGCTGCCAATCCTAGGTAACATGGCACCTACACCCATGCTCAGCACCACACATGGTACAGGATAATAATAAACAACTGCCACTGGTTTACTTATTTTCTACACTATACCTTTTATCATTATTTTAGAATACACCCCTTCTGCTTTTTTGAAAAAAAAAAAGTTAACTATAAAACAGCCTCAGGCAGGTCCTTCAGGGGGGATTGTAGAAGAAGGCCGGCCGGCCGGCGTTACCACAGAAAGTCACAGCTCCGTGTGGGGTATTACCCCTGAAAACCTTCCACTGGGACAAGATGCACAGGTGGAAGACAATGATGTTGATGATCCTGACCTTGTGCAAGCCCAAGCAGATGGGTGTGTCTGTGTTTTAGTTTAACAAAAATGTTTTGAAAGTTAAACAAATTAAAAATATGTCATACCACACGGCCTCGGTGTATAAGGGGCAGGGCCATCTGGGTTTGTGTGAACATCATGGAACTTCATAGATGAGCTATCCTCACATTGCCTTTCTCAGAGTGTGTTTCCATCGTTCCCCGACACATATACCATTCAGCATCACCTGGTCAGTGCTGTCTTCTCTCAGTAATGACACAGTCTAGGCAGCGAATCCCGGGCTCTACTTTAAGCCTGTAAGTCACTTACAATGTGAGTCCTGGGGTCAGTCTGTCTCTGTCTGTCTGGAAGTCAGCTTGCTTAGCAGGAGGTCACACTGCTAAGAGCATCTTGTCTGAGAGCCTGCCACCCTGTGCTGCAGCCAGTCACTGAAGGACCCGGCACCACAAAGGTGTGAACGTCAGGGACAGTAATGGAAAGTGGTCATCTTCTGAACCCAGGCCAGGGTCTCCCCAGGCGTCCTTCCCCAGGACTCTTGGGGCTCACTGTGCTTGCTCACCGTGGAGAGGCAGGGGCCAATGAGTATGGACTTGCTTTTGGAGAACCGACTAACGGGAAGGAGGGGAGCCATGTCGTGTTACCACACTGAGCATGTACTACACACCAGACTCTCCAGCAGGCACTTCCTTTAGGGTTAAAAGCCAAACTGCTTTTTCTTCTGGTGACTGCTCTGCCTTCTGCTGACTATGTAAAGCTGGCAAGATAACATGACCTCAGTTTCCACGTCCCACTCTACAAAGCAGGGATCATGAACTCCCAGAGTGACACACTATGGAATTGCTACAAAGGCTAAATGGGTTAATGGGCAAGATGCTTAAGTCTGACATAGGCACCTCGGAGGCATTCTGTGACTATTAATAAAAGTAAAAAGGAAAGTTAACAAAAAAAAAAAAGGAAAAAAGAAAAAAAAATGTGCCTTTCCTCCTGCCTCAAAGATGGCTTGGAGTCTGTCTGCTTATCAGCTTCCCTCTGCTCCCCGGTGTCTAAGGTCGGGTCATCTCAGGGACCAACCCTTAGCCTTCTTTTTTGGTTTCTTCAACATACATTTTCACTCTCTTGATAATCACGTTGAGTCTCGAGACTTCAAATCCCATCTGCTAATGACTGATCTCTTCCCTAGGCTTTGCCCATGCAGCATGTCCACTGGTAGGACTCTCAGACACCCCTAACCCAGCATGCCCACACCTGAGCCAGAAACCTCCTGCTACTGTCCCTTCCCCTTCGCCCCTGAGCAAGACCATCCTTCTAACTCCTCAGGCCAAACTCCTGAAGTCATCTGTGCCTTCTCCTTCCCTCACACCCACAGTAGTCCATGAGGGCACTTGGCAGTGTCCATCTCCAGAACACATTCTAGGACATTCCCACTTCTCACAAGCTCTCCTGCCACCAGCAGGGCCTGCCTGATGTCTGGCTTGGCCTCCACCACGGATCTCCCACGTCCACCCTTTCCTCTTGGTAGACTACTCTCAACACAGGGCCCAGGATGGTCCATTTACAAAATCAGTCAAAACACACCAACTTCTGCATAATACCACCCAATGGCTTCCAGAGAAGAGCCACGGAAGTTAGAGTGACCCTAGCAGCCCTGCGTGATCGGGGACTCCAGAATCTTCCTCAGCTTATACCAGGGACATAAGTTCTTCTGGGACAGGGATCCTCTTACGCCTTGCTCATGGGCAGATCCTAAGCTCCCAGAGCACCTCAGGACACACAGTCAGAAACTAGTAAATACTGACTGAATAAGTAGCTGCAAACTATAATCTCCTGAGAGCTGGCACATTGATGGACTCAGAAGGTCAGGCCCAGGACACAGGTCCAGCACACTGGTTGCTCCCGGCGTGAAACTCACATTCACCCAGTCCTCTGTCTTGGGAGAAGCAGTGAGCAGCAATCAACTCCTGTCCAACAAGTGTTGGAAGGTCACCGTGCACAACCAGCATCTGAGGGGTAATTTACTAGGTCAGAAGTAAAGCAAATGACTGGGATTAGGAAGTGCAGTTCCTAAGTTTCCAGTAGTAAGCTGAGCTCACTGAGCTGAGTTTCCTTAAATAACCATCCTTCTGTGAAGGCCAAGTGACCAAACTGGACTCTTGTCACTCCCCTGGACCATCCGGTGAATGTGAACCCAGACGGGAAGTATCGTGTTCCCTCCTAACACGAGCACCAAAGCCTCAACACACTTTGCAAAGGGAGAGATTTCTTTTCTCTTTCTGGAAGAAAGCGCTCGACTCACCAGGATGAAGACCGTGAAGAATATGACCACGATGGCTGCTGTAATGAACAGCTTCTTCCGGGGGAACACGGCGGCCGGGAGGAGAAACACCAGGGCGAAGCAGATGGCGCCTCGGAGCCCTCCGTAGGCAATGATGAACTGATCCTTGAAGGTCAGGGGAATGGTCCGGAACCAGTTAATGACCTGAGTGAGGACAAAGACACCTACGAAGAAAGACAACCCAGAAGGAAGTGGAGTGAGGTCAGCGTGTGCCGGTGTGTGGACTTGGCTGGTTTTCTGTGTCTGTGACAGAACCCAGTATTGAAGAGTCAGCCTCAAGGCCTCCCCCCTTTCCCGGTCTGAGGAGCACTCCTCGGTTCCTGGCTCCGCTCTTACCACTCCAGGTGACGTGGGGGAAAAAGTGGAACCACAGAAGCCAAGGGAGGGAACTTGACTTACAGCAAAGCCAGGAAGACACTTGGGGAAGAAAAGAATATACAAAGAAGGAGGAGAGGAGAAAGGAGGAGAGGAAGAAAGAGATGAGGAAGGAGATGAGAAAGGAGAAGAAGAGGAGAAGAGAAACCAGGAAGAGAAACAAGAGGAAGAGGAAGAAGAAGAAAAAAGAAAAGGAAGAGGAAGGAGGAGAAAGGAGAAGAAGAGAGAGAGAAGATAATGGAGATGGGAAGGGAGAAGAGGAGGAGGAGAAGAAAGAGGAGTAGATAGCAGTATCTAAGGAGGGAGAGGAAACAAAGAAGATGAAGCCACAGCTGTAGCACACAGGGAGGGACCAGAAGAAAGCCCCAAAGCCCCATTGTGTCAGCGTCCTTGGATGTTTGTAGAGCAAACAAGCGCTCATTACCCAGCGCTCGCCAGATGAGACAGAAGGCCAGGGTGAAGCAGACGAAGGCCCAGTTCCACTCATGGTTCTTCCCCACCGTGGACACGCCCATGAAGATGAAGATCAAAGTCTCGCTGACGCTGCTCAGCATCTTCATGAAATACTTGATGGTCGTGTAGGACTTTTGAGATACGTTTTCTTCCACGTACTTATTCATCGTCATGGCACACGCTGTGATTCTAAATGAGAGGACACGGCTTCTGTTTAGAAATGACAAGGATCCTCATCCACACCCCAGAGTGGACACCAGAGAGCTGAATTAGCATTTGACCCTCTACCCATGACCACAGGATGGACTGATTGACTTTTATAAGTGAATGTGATTTGCATATGAACTTTGTAAATACGATGATGATCCCCGGAAATGTTCATTAATACCAGGACTGGAACCATCCTGCTCCGTCCAGTTTGCTCATCACCTCAGACTCCTCACCCAAATACACACTTCCAAAAGTCCTTAAGCATCAGCACATCAGCATCTCTCCTTTTCAGCCTCAAATGAAACAAGTTCAAAATAAATCTGAAACCCATTGTCTTCCTATAATACAATGTCTTCTCTTAAACTCGATTCCTCTATTATCCAAAGTCCTAAACTATTGCATAAGATCCCAAACTTGCAGTTGGAGTCTCATTGGCCTTCTCTCCTGCACACCTCCTCATATGATTGGGGTCCTGTTGTTTTTGATTCTTCAACCTGAATATCTCTTGGTCTCACACTTTTTTTTTTTGTTAATCCCAACACCATAGTTTTGGGTCTCATTTCTGTGTTATCTATTATATCTACTACTGTGAGATTCAAAATGTCTAATAGGCTCTGGGAATTCCTAAAGGAAAGAAACTATTTTGCTCCCCCCGCCCCCACCTCCAGCATTTGGTTCCAAAACTTGGGGACCTTTATTCCACTCTCATACTGACTATTTCAATGTGGAGCCTTTGCACACTCTGGGAAAAGATCCATTCCCAGTCCTAAGTTGGATACCCCATGCTCTTCACACACTGTCCTTGGGGGACAACTGCAGTATCACTGGCCCCAAGCCTGATGCTCACCACATGCCTCAGCTGTCTGGAATTTGCCAAATGTGCCCTTGATCTTGGTTACCTTCTTGCCTTCTGCACACCTGGCCTCCTCCCTGTCCACTATATCACCCTGACCAACTCAGATGCCATCCGCAGAGGGAAACAACTCACACTAGGGTGCATCTAAGACACCTATAGTAGTTACTATAAAGCATCAAAAGGACTTCATTGTCTGAAGGTGCTGTAAAATGGAAGAGGAAGACAGACGGAAAGTGAGCCACCCCACCTTCCACACAGTGACGACCAGTGGCCAGTCATGATCTCTGAAGGGTTCCACATTCCCACAACTCAAGAGCCACAGTGACCCTTCGTGCACCTCCCCTCTCTGCCCGCCTCTTGGTCCCCCTCATCCCAAGAATATATCTGGTACTTTAAGGAGCTCTGCCTACCTTGAGCATCAGAACAGGTACAAAGAGGCGGACCTTAGGGTACTCTGAGTTAGGACAACCACAAATTTGTTTCACTGCAAAAAACAGACCTGTTTTTTGCATGGAAAGCAGGTGTGTTTATTCTTGTGCCCCCTATGAAAACAAACAGATTCTACCAATGCAAGGATCATGACTTTAGCCACAATGTCACTGCCTCCAGAACAAGTAGGTGTTTCTTTTAGCCTTATGTGAGTAGAGAAAGCACCAATTATATGATTTCCCAACAGAAAGAGTGGCCTTATTAAATGCACTAATAAATTTCAGCAGACACACACACACACACACACACACACACACACACAC